ATAAGAATGGCCTCCACAACCCCTACCCGCGTGTCCAACAACTAGACCTGTAGACCAGGGCCCAGATCTCGTACACGTTCAACGATCTAAAAGCACCCAGAAGCGCTTGGTCTCTCGACATGGCGTGTAGCTTCTTCTTCTGAGTACATAGACAAGCTAACACGAAGCATGAGATGTCCTACTTCTCTCGTAACCGTTCCCGTTGCTGATAATGAGCGATTGTTATGACGCATTTTTTATATATACAAGGACTTTCGTTTTGGCACCGCAACTGGCTAAAGATAGGTTGTAACTTGGCGATCGAGCGCTTTAGACTACTTTTGACGCAAAATGTAGAACACGTTCGTGGCACTTCTGCTATTTACAAACTTTTTTAGGTACGTAATTTATTTCACTCGTGCTTATAACGATACTTCCAGTAGGAGCTTTTAGAGAAGATAGCTAATACTTTTCTAATTCGATATCTGCAATGATTGGCACCTTGCTGGACATTAGAGACAATTATCCCTAGAATTTGCTCAAGAGGATTGCTACTCTTCCCATCCTGCTCACGTTTGCCCTAAAACGACGCAAATAAAAAAATCACATCCACAATAAATTACACATTTTTTGAGCTCAGTTTTTCATAAACTATGATTGATTTAGAATAATTGAGTGAACAAATTCTGCAATCAAAGAACAATGGGAGCACTTTTTGGTGTTCCTTTGATTCAATCTTTCGCAGGATCCAACTATAAAAAATACCCCTTCTAAAGAAGTGGCTCAAAACCCTGATACCTTGATATCTTGCGAGTGAATTATAGCGCAAGCCGCAGACTTGTTGTCAGCTTGACAACGTCATTATTCTTGGATGAAATATTCAAGATAAATACATAAGTTAAAACGCGAATTATTCATCAGCTATTAAGTACTTCTGCCCGGACACCTCTCAGTGGGCATTTGAAATGGACGAAGCTGTGAAGGTGGGAGACATTGTCGATCTTGGCGTAGAGTTTCAAGGAGAAGTACTGCCAGATCTGCAAGGCTTATACATTACCACTCATACGGATGCGAATGGAAGAAAAACGTAAGTGCTAAATTTTAGTTAAGTTCGTGCGGGTCTAACTCTCTATTGAATTGGCATCATTCTTAGATATCAACTTAAACTGTCCTTCTTAGGAGATCTGCAGTTACACAGTTTGAACCGTCCTTCGCTCGAAAGATGTTCCCCTGTTTTGACGAACCGAACTTTAAGGCCACCTTTGAGGTAGAGCATTTCTTGGGTCTAGTAGTGCCAGTAGGACACAAATTCAGGTATCAGTGATACGCGAACCCCACCACACAGTCCGCTCAAACACAAAGATGAGACTGTCCGAAGAGCATGTGGACGGGTGAGGGAATATGAGTCTCTTTTTTA